GGAAAGTGTTAATATAAAAGTTAAATAAAGAACCATAGCAAGACAACATGCAATTGCAGCAATTTGTGAGACAAGTAATCTAGAGTTAATCTGCAATAACTGATACCCAAAATCCAGCTGTACTTAGAAATAAAAGGAGCATGGAGTATGTGAACCAGCTATGTAACTGATAACTGCTAGATATGGCCAAACGTAGCAGGTTAGATCTGCCACGAAAAAACAAGGGAATTAGAAACAGAAGGGAATTGCATGATTGCACCACGTGCATTACACAAGGAGAACTATCATGGAAAGATAACTTACAGAGATTTTGCAAACAACACTGAGAATGATCCAACAGCACCTGAAACTATAGCATAGGAAAAAGGAAGCAGCATATGCCAATAGGGTCTCAGATCCTGGCCAGAAACAGCATGCAGAAGTTCTCCTCTCCTGTATATCCAGAAATTGATGTAAATGAAATTTGTTGGAGCCATACCAATAAGAAGGAAGAGTTCATCACTTAATTCCCACCTGTAAATGGAGTGATGCAAGGCAACAACTAAAACCAAAATCATACAGTAAAATAGGAATGCAATATTGCTGTATTTCTCAGCCAGCTGTTCAGGTGTGTATACTGTAACAAAAACAATTAAACTTCATTACATTTGAGTTTGTGGAGAAAGTCTTTTCTGCAGCAGTTATATATTACGGCCCTCTCACAATAACCAGTCATGTGACCAGCACACATGGGGATGGATGTGATAAGGCTGTTGTATGCAATGTTTGTAGGGACGATCGTTGTACTTGTGTGTGTGTGTGTGTGTGCGTGTGTGTTTACAACAGGGGGGAGTTTGGGATGGTACTTGAAAATGAATCATGTACCAGGTGACTGGTGGTTGCCAAAAGCAACAAGAAAAATATTCCCGATAACAATAAAGGCTGTGGCAACCATTACCCTGTAAAGAAAGCAGTCTTATTACATAGAGATGTACTCAGAAATATATGTAAAATGGATCTATGGACAGCATTACAGTTATGAAAATTCAATCTCACTCAGATTATAACGTACTTTACAGTCACCATTTTGTTTAACACAAAGTAAGCAAAGGCAATGTTGGATACAAACTGAACAGAACCCAGTGCCGCAAGAAGTGACTGCATGGAAGGATACAAGAAAACAAAACTAATTAGAAATAACAAACTCATCCAGATATTCTTGTCGCAGATGTTGACATCAGTGTATGTATAGTACTAATCCTACTTTGTGGATTCAAATAACAAGGCTAACAAAATAGAGTTTATACTGACCTGAGCAGCATATCCAAAGGATACAAAATTTAGGCAATTACCAAGAGCAAAAAATAAAAAGCCTGCATATGAAGAAAGCTAACTTATTTTAAGTCCTGTGTTCGTAATCCACCATGCAAACTAGAATATCCAAACAGTTAGAACAGATGAAGCACTGAGAGAGAAAAATGTACCAACTCTCCATGTCTGATAGTGTATGATAGGCTTCAAAGGAAGCTTTCCATTTCCTCCGTCACTTTCTAGTATTGAATGTCTCTCTCTCTGCCAAAACAAAAAATAAACATTCTGACAATTGCCTCATGGTATAAATACAGTTCCCAGTATTAAATTGCTACAGAAGGAACACAGGTGGCTCAAGTCTGCATTTTCAGACTAGCTACAAAGTGGTTGACAGCATACAAGAATTGAAAACACACAAAATGTAGATGTTCTCGCATACATCAAATGAAAACACACGAAATGTAGATGTTCTCGCATACATCAAATGAAAACTATGAAGTCAATGGAAGTGAAAGTCTGACTAATGAAGATTTAGCATGCAGAGAAGAATGAAAGGTGTGGTTTGTATTGTTGCTTGCCAGCTGCATGTTGATTGTTCAAGCAACAATGTGCAGTAACAGTTAGAGTAGAAGTGCTAAAAAGAGGAAAAAGCATACACACCCTACTAGTGGGAAAGTCATCACAATAACATGTGGAAGGTTATAAATTTGCCTAAAGATTGTTAGACACGATCACAATTCATAATGGTTCAACGAGAAGAAGGTAATGAGCAAACATACACACAAGACAGCCACCCAAAGTAATAGAGTATGGAGAATAAACCTCGTTATGCCCCAATTTGAGAAGGTTAGTTCCAAAGTTGATGGCAATGCTGCCAAAAAGGTTAATGAAAGCTCCAACGACCCACTCCCCCATGGATTAGAGAGAGATGTGAAGCCGAGGCTGCATGCAGCTTAGGTGTCAAGTTGCCAACCAATATTACTTACTGAACCTGGCACAAGTAGAAACAATCACATATATAGCAGCGATTTGCAAGGGAAATGTTTGAGGAATTCCCAATGTCTCGCACATTAACAGACAATCTGACAGATGTAACTCTATATGATATAATATGATATGATACGATACAAAAGAGCAAAAATAACATGTATGTATGATTGTAATTCTATATGATATGATTCACAATTCAGATGAAAAAAATTAATATTTATTATCATTTCGTTTCGATTCGATAGATCAGGCATAAGAATAAGAAATCATAAATACATTTAACAAACAAATAAATTCATAAAGAAAAAAGAAGAAAAATATAGAAAGAAACCACATTTGGAGCTATTAATTTACCCCTCTTTCTCAAGGACAAGTTGGAATTTCGATCGAGGCGGATCCAAATTGTGAAGGTATTTACTTTTCTTGTGTTTCTGTTTAATCTGTGTGTTATTTCCCGAAGAGAGAAGGAGAAGATAATTGTAAAGGAGAACAGAATCCCAGATGCGAGATCGATGGATGGATAGGTGTGAAAGACTTGAGATTAAGGAGGAAAGGATTAGGGAAGAATGAATGCCAGAAATGCCAGAAATGCCAGAAACAAGAAAGAAGAGGAGAGACGACGAGGGAGAAGAAGACAGAAAAGAAAGAGTTGTCCGGTCAATAGCCCAAGGCGTGATGCTTCAACGCACGCTATGACGGCCTTACTCTTCAACTTGTCGGCAAGACAATCACCTACGCTAACCCTCATGACAACAAAACTATAACTGCTATCATCTGTCCGTCCATCTTTGTTTTTTTTTCGCTTGGGTAAGGAGTGGGCTCCACTAACTGTCATTGAAGTAGTTAATCTTGGATTTGGATCCTCTCCTGAGCTAATGGAGAGGATCCTCCTCATCAATCATCTTGGACCGTTGGATTTTTATCCAACGGCTACAAATAGAGAATCTTTTAAAGTTATAATAATTGTAGCCATTGGATAAAAATTCAACGGCCCATGATGATTGATGAGGAAGATCCTCTCCATTAGCTCAGGAGAGGATCCAAATCCATTAATCTTCGCCTCTAAACTGCCAGCAACGTCTTTACAAAGAGACCGGATTCTCACCGGTCTTCTTTGTGAGGATTTCTAGGATTTGTGAATCGTGTTCGTTCATCGTATATCGTATGGTTAAAAATTATTTTAAATATTTTTATTTAAAAATAAACATAAACAGTACTTAAAAAAACTAATCGCATGATATACGATAAATGATACGATTTACAAATTCTTAAGATCATCACCAAAGAATCCGGAGAGGATCCTGTTGGCTTTACAAGGCGGGTTGTAGTTTGTTTGTTTGACATCATTAGGCTATTACTAGTAATTCCATTAAACCCTGAAAAACATTACCTCAGCTCTTCAAATTAATTCAACTAATTCTAACTAACCAACTGGAATCACCTCTCACGAGGTTGAAGCACGACGAGTATCTGCACACTCTCTGCCCATCGACTACATGTATCGCTGAACCAATTTGCAGTTTTTGTAGTTAGAACATACAAATATATTTTGAAGAAAATTTAATATTGTATTATTGAAAACTCGTGTCAATGCAATATGTAAGGATGAGAGCACGCGAATATATCACTTATAAGCTATTTACTTTTTGACACCAACTTTCAACTATGTATATATACTTTTACAAAACGCATTACCTCCCTCAAAAATAAAAAATTAAAATTAGTTCCCGTCTTCAATCAACATATTGATCAATTGTGCCGATAATTTTACAAAAGTATTCCGTCTCACATGCATTTCCCTCTCTTGGAAATGTAGCAGAGAAATCAGTTGAGGTGGCTAGCTAGCTAGCTAGCTAATTTCTCTCAACCTCTCGTTTATTTGTGATCAGGATTCCGAGCATTCAGGAATATCATAAAATATAACACGGAGTCCCTTTCTTTTGGTGTGACCAAAATACATTTCCAGATAATGCATAGGTTCTTACTGTAGTGTGTCGTGTGATTAACATCTTTGTATCTTCTTGTGGTGGATAACTGACATATGATGAAGCGTCCTAGCTAAGAGAGAATTAAGCATAGCTGTTTGAATTCAATGTCCTAGCTAGCCAAAAGATGGAGTTTTGTGCTCTTGTCCTTGTTGCATTATCCGTCGGAAAAACTTGAGCTAACAATCACATTTTTAATCGGTTTTCGACCAAAACCATCGTATTTGAGTAACTCTGGTCAATGCCATTTACGCCCTTCCGGACTCCCAGTAAGGGAAATGCTATTCGTAACACAGCTTATACAAACACAAAAATGAATGAAACACACACGGTTCTTTAGAGGACACCATTAGTAGTACCACAACTTTCTCATACTAATCAATTATAATTGTTCTGTTTTTCAGCCCTCCACTTCATCAACTTCATACCTTCATATAACAAATTTCTAAACAAACAGTAACTTAATCCAACACCCACTCTAATTATGCAAACAATATAACTGCACAGTATAAGTTGGTGTCAAACATACTCTTTAATCGTCATCTTATCATATATGCTATAGAATGACAATATTTTATCTACGCAATAGTCAATACCAAGCACAACAAAGTCATTTGGTGTCGTCGATCAAAATCCTGAGATTGCACTTCTCCTGCTTAAATTAACACATATGAGCAGACACACAAAGCACTGCCAGAATAAATTTACAAAGATGTACAAAAACATGAAACCAAATGGAACAACCACCTGAATCTATTTCCAAGATGAGAGTATCTAAAGTTTCAAATGCGCGTTGAAACTTGTTACAAAGCACCTGAGAGATTATACCATACCATACCATATGAAAAAGAACCAAACAGTTTTCAATTCAAAATATCTACCAACCAAGGAGTGCTTTGCAGTGAAATGCAGGAGTTCAGGTACCTTCACTATCCGCAAAGCTACCCCATGTATGGTAACAGATCTTACTTGTCGGTTACTTCAGTAAGAAGGAGACTAATAAAATCATTGCATCTGGTTTTCTTTCTTTAGTGAAGCTGTTAGTGAAGAGCTTTAGAATCTTTCATGCCCACATTGCCATCCCACCCACACTATGTGAGTCTATTTCCATAAGCACAGGTGTCCCTAATCATGCAATCCTGGGAAGAAGTTGAAGATGTCTCAAACGAATGGTTAACCCGACATTGCCACCTAAATGGTATTTTCATTTTACTAGTTCATTACAACATGGTAGGCAGTAAAGGCCCTTAAAGCAGTACGCCAGCAAAACAAGTAATCTAATCTAATTGACAAGAACAAAGGAAGAAACCACACAACAAACAGGCAGGAAATAAGAGAGGAGCCGGATTCATTAATGTAACAATGTAAGAGTAGGAGAGAGGGCAACATTGGGCAAGAAGTAAAAAAAAAAGAAGATACCAGAGCCAAAAGAAAGAGTAGAGCAGTTTGCAGTTTGTACTTGTGATGGTAACATAATGCAACTAATGTTAATGGTATACACACAGAATTAAAAATCTGCCGGATGTCATCACAGTAGTACTACAGTGATTTAAAGAAAAAGAACCCAAAAAAAAAAAAAAAAAAAAAGTACCGGTGATTCTCCTGAACGAGGGTGAGGGTGAGGGTGTGGGTGTGGATGCTAGGCTGCTAGCTAAGCCTGAGTGCCGCTCAAGGCCTTCATCTGAATGTGGTTGTGGTCGGAGGAGGGGGCAGCGTTGGGCAAGGCCTCGTATGAACCCAATCTGCGGATTCCAACAGACTTGGTAACGACGGCGTAGGTGACCATGACAATGAGCAGGACAAACATGACGTGCACCAAGAACACCAGATCCAAAATGGCCACCGCCCTGAACCGGGACTCGTCCAGGTCGCACTTGGTGGAACCCTCAACCGCGTTTACCACGTCCAGCAGCCTGTGGCACCCCTCCGGGATGAACGCCTCCACGTACAGCGACAGCCCCGTCTGCAACACCCACAGCCCCTGCAAGCACATGGCCGCCCCTAACCCCACATCCGCCACGAACACCCTCGGCTGGCACGCCAGAACCACGCACAGCCCTGACGCCACCGCCGTGATCCGACCGGAAACCGAGTCGCACTTGGCCTGCAGATCCGACATCTGCACCGACGCTGCCCCCCACGACACGAGCGATTGCAGGTAGAAGAGGGCCGCGGACAGCCCGAACACCAGATCCGAGGGCAGCGGAAGAACCGATGGAGCACACTCGGAAAGCAGCAGAGCCAGCGTGAGCACCAAAAAGAGGAAGAGGGAGGCCGCGGACTGCAGGGACGTGAATCGGTGGACGGGGGTGCGGCCCTTGAGGAGTGGGTCGGCGTCGAAGGAGGTGAGGGTCTGGTGGACGACGGCGACCAATAGGCAGGCGATTATGGCATAGAGCTGGAGATACCTGAGGCGATGATGAGGAGGAGGATTAAGGTTGGAAGAGGAAGAGGAGAGGGGGAAGGGGTGGTAGGGCTTGGCGGCGTAAGACTGTGGAGATTTGAGGTGGTTGCGGGTGGTGGCCACCATGTGGTAGAGTCCCAGTGATACCAATGCGGAGGAAGACAAAATCTGGTATACTAGGGCTGCCATTTCTCTCTCTTTCTCTCTCTCTCTCTTTCCCTGCTTATTCTACTGCTGCTTCAATCCTTATCTCTCTCTTGAGTTTTGAGTCTTGGAGTTTTGAGTCGCGAATCGATTACTTGTTTTCAAATAAATACTCGCAATGAAATAAATAAACAAAAAACGAGGAGGAGGCAGGCCAAAGCTAAACACAGGCAGTCATCGCTCGACCTCCGCTCCGATCCCAACCAGATCCTAATCAGATGATCCTCCTAATTACTTAGATCCTCGGATCCTGAGAAGCGTATGATATAGAAGCCGATGACCGCTGTAGATGATTCACATAACCTCTGCAAACTCTCCTTCCCAACTCACCCATCATTTCAATTCTCAAAATTCTTGCGCTAGAAATTGTTTTATGTATGGGGCCGGGTCACTTTTCTTTCTATGATGTGATATCTACGGACTATATTCTATTTTTTACATATCTTTTTATTTTTAATTGTCGGATCGAATGAATTAAAAAATATTAACGGATAAAAGTTATTAAAAATTTGTAAAAAGTAAAATAAAGTGTGTGAATAACACATTCTTCTTTTTACATGGGCATTTTGGCGCATTGCCATTAGGTGAGGCAACAATGCAAATTTTGCATTTTCTTTAGGTAGATTGTAAAAAGAAAAGTAAAATTATGGCTGTTTTAGGGTTTTAAATACGGCAGTGTTCACACATTCATTTTTATTTTCACACAATTTTGTTTTATTTTAGTCATTGAATTTTTTCAACTCATTTGATCTCACTATCAAAATTAAACTATGAAAGTTCAAGGTATTGATTATGTTTTTTCGACAAAATTAAATGTCTATAAAATCCAAATATACTTTATAAATTGTTTATAAAAATCCTTTTGTATTCAATAAGAATTTGATTTCAATTCAGTTTGAAATGTGAAAGACTTTTTTATTTTATGAATTTAGCGAGATTTTATAGTGCGCTTTGGGTCATAATAAAGTAAGCATTTTAAGGGGTGTATTCAATTGAGTATTTTTTTTTTTTTTAACAAACGATATTATCTAAACTAAAAGGATAGGGAGTCGGATAAGACTCGAACTGCGCTAGCCATAATAATGTCTTTGACGAAAATCGAATATGAGACATCTCACTTACTAGCTAGAGAAATACAACTAAGTGGCTTATTCAATTGAGATTAGTCATTTTAAATTTTAATCATGGTATTCAATCAAGATTCTACCACAAGTCTAGATTTATTCAATCAAGATTACTTCTAACACGGTTTGTATAGATCGGCGACTATTATTCCAGCCATGTCAGAGTCATTATTACGCATCTCTGGAGTTGTGGTCACATGTTCGAATCTTGGGTAGCAAAATCAATATAATGGGTTACAATGACCTTAGCCATCAAGTCCTAGGTGCCTATGTTCCACTCAGATGCAAACATTTTCTCAGGGTCGAGTTAGGGCAATGGGGTGTTAAGAGCAACTCCACCGTTGCAAATGCCCCCTAGGGCTATTCACTATTTAATCCACCAAGTGAACAGTAACTGCCCTTAATGAACAGTAACTGTCTTTTGCATCTCCACCCTTACACTGAATAGCCCTGACAATAGGCAATAAAATATTAGTATTTTTTTATTTATAAAATAATAAAAAATAATTTTATTAATAATTTCGGATAAGATTTTTAATCATTCTCGTTGTGCCATGTGTCATTATCGGAAAATGCAATTATTGGTGATGGGTTCCAATAAGATTTTTATCCAATGCCCTCGTGCCACGTGTCGTTACATTTTCAGAATCGTTGAGGATAGATTTCTGATTAGATTTTTAACCAATCACATCGCGCCACGTGTCACAATCTATTTACAATCTTTGAGGATAGATTTTGATCATATTTTTAACGAATGACGGCATACCATGTGGCATTATTTACAACCTAATCCTTTTTGAATCCTCCATATAATCCACCATCCATCCTCAGAAATCTCACACCAATTTTCTCAAGATCTCTATCATTATTCATAGTTTATGTTTCCTTTGTCACCAAAATCAAAATCTGTATCATTATTCGTAGTTTCTACTTCCTTCTTACAATGTCTTCTTCTTCAAGGATGATGTGGGAAATCGATCAGCAAGAGGAAGAATTGTTTAACCAATCAGAATGAATGTTCAATCTCCAGGTGCCCCAAAATGAGATGGAAGAGGATGAGGAGCGTAGAAGGAGAGATGACGAAGCAAGAATGGCAAAAGCCTCACATTCTCGTTGAGTCATCTAAGCTGTGACTCAGATCTGCAGGCCCAGCTATTCCGTAAACCTTGATAGAAGCAGGCAACGATGAGGTACGAATCTCTTGGACGATTATTTTGTCCGTAACAGTACATTCCCTGATATGTACTTTAGACGTCATTTTAGAATGGAACGACATTTGTTCAACAAAATCATGATTGCTGTTTCCAACCATGATTCTTACTTTGGGCAAAAGAAAGATGTTTTTGGTGTTACGGGTCTCCTTCCTGAGCAAAAAATTATTGCTACCATGCAGATGCTTGCATATGGAGCATTGCAGACCAAGTAGATGAGATAGTGAAGATGGGGAAATCAACCATTCTTGAGTACCTGATGAGGTTTTGCGAAGCAATCGAATCTATCTACACTGTAGAGTACTTCTGGAAACCTACTGAGATGGTATTGCAAAGGCTTCTGAAGAATGACGAAATGCGAGGTTTTCCTAAGATGATTGGAAACATCGACTATATGCACTGGACCTGGAAAAATTGTCCAAGTGCATGGCAAGGTACTTATGGGGACATAAAATGAGCAAAAAATATCATTTTGGAGGCGGTGGCATCTTTTGATACATAGATTTGGCACGCCTTTTTGGGGTTCCGGGAGCTCAAAATGACCTCAATGTCTTTGCCCAATCCTAGTGTTCAACGATGTCCTGCAAGGTAAGGCACCAAAAGTCACGTACTGGGTCAACGGACATAAGTACGGCCATACTACCTAGCATACGACATTTACCTAAGGTGGTCATCATTTGTCAAAATAGTGCCACGTCGCGAAGTGCAAAGGAAAAACACTTTGCAAGCTATCAAGAGGGGTGCATGAAGGATGTGAAGCGTTGTTTTGGTATCCTCCAAGCTCGTTGGGCGATTGTCAAGGGTGCTGCCAGAATGCTTGATTTAGAGTCGCTTCGATCCATCATGATGACGTGCATCATTCTTCACAACATGATTGTGAAAATGAGTACGATTATGATGTCATTCATGAATATGAGCCAAATATGATAAACAATTCCAAAACATAAATATATTGTGCTCATGACGCCACTGAAGAACCTGTGCAACACGAGCCATTATAAAGGGATGGACGTTATAATGAAAGACTCGTTCAACAATATACTGCACTTCAGAAGCCATATATGCACAATGCCCAGCAAATTGACCTGATAGAGCACCAGTGGGAATTGAAACAAGCTCAAGATACTTAAGTTCATTTAGTGTGTTTTTTTTTATTTGGTGTGTTTATTTAATTTTATTTGGTGTGTTTTTTAAGTTCATTTAGTGAGTTTTTTATTATTTGGTATGTTTATGTAATTTTACTTGGTATGTTTTTTAAGTTCATTTAGTGAGGTTTTTTTTTTATTATTTGGTATGTTTATGTAATTTTATTTGGTGTGTTTATGTCCTTTGAATAAAGAATGTCTTAGTTTAAATAAATTACCAAATTAAATAAATATAATCTTAGTTTAAATAAAGTACTATATTCAATCAAAAATATTTAGAATTCATTTTTATGTGGTGTTAGGATCATCTTCTCTTGTAGTGCTAGGACCATTTCCTCTTACTCTCGCTTCTCTTACACGCCTCTCTCGGACCACGTCCGCTTTCTTCGAATTCCAAAAATATTTAGAATTCAAAGACTTCCTTTCTAAAGGCATGTTCATAATGTCATGATCTCGTTGAGCCCTTCCTTCTTTTCTAATCTCTTCCCTTTCTTGCCTAAGTAGCTCTCTTTCTCTCTTATTAGCTTGAAATTCTCTCTCAACATCTACAGTTTTTGCCTCATCTCTGGCCTTATCAACCTCAAATTTAGCCATTTCCCTCGCCAAACTTAATTCACCTTGGCGAGCAAGTTCTTCCATATACTTTGCATAATCATTCTTGGAAGCATTCCCTTTTCTCTTTGAAGCCTTCTTACGTTGAGGCCTAATTGGATAACAGGTCGATTCCAACGCTTATTCAAGTGGGGCATTTCCGGCACTTCTTCTGCGTCATCTTCATCATGAACATGCAAGGCATGATCGGGCGTAGAGTAGTAGAGGGGTGTTGTTCATGACTACTTTTGGACCGACAGACACAACTCTGAATTTAGGACAGTCTTTGACAATATTCCAACATTCCTACTGAGTGAATGATTGCTTTTGGTTTTTGAATTTAGTATTATACCAAGCTTGTGCTTGAAGTGTCTACACAATGAGGGAGAAGAAATAATATTAATCAAAGTAGCTAATGTAAATTTGGGTATAGTATAGTACAAACAAATAAATAATATATTGTTACCTAATCCGCTAAATTTTCCCCAATTCGAAGATTACTACTAACTTGTGTCAAGGCGTCTCTCCACATACTAAACAATTGGCTGAGTATTCTCCAACGACTGGACATCGATTCTTTGGTTCTTTTCCCACCAAATTTCTCAAGATAATTGGTATGAATAAGACTCCACATTTCTCGCAACTGCATCTCATTACCCGTAATTAGATCATGAGTAACTTCAACCTAGTTAGTACACAACGTAACATCTTCAATAAGCATCCAATTTATACCTGCATCATTAGTCATTTTGTTGGAAAAAAATTGGATTGAAACTTTGAGAGAAAGATAGGAATGTGGTTGAAAGTAGTTGAGAAAATATGAAATTGTCGTTGAAACTTTGAGAAAATATGAAATTGTGGTAGAAACTTTGAGAAAATATGAAATTATGGTTGAAAATTTGAGAAAATATGAAATTGTGGTTGAAACTTTGAATGTGACGACCCGTCCCAAATTATAATATATTTTATCTTCGAAAGCGTGGAAATGACAATTTTGCCCTTGAAATGATGTGTGGTGGTTGTATAAGCGGGCTAAGGAATTGGACCAATTACTGTACCTCCTACTTTCTTAGGTCCAATTAGAATTGTGGGTTTGTTTTGAATTAAATTGTTAGCCCTAAACCTTATGGGCCAATCAGGGCCCTGCTCTTTTATTTTTGCCCAATCTCGTAGCTCAGTCACACACACACCCACACCTACAACTCTCTTTCCTTCTTCACTCTTCTCAACTTTTCTTCCTTGTTCGTACAATCCGAGCCTTCAACTCTCAAACACCATCCAAACTTCATTGATCAAGCTTGAGCTTTGCATCAAAGTGTTTTTGATGACTTCACGAACCTATCTGTACCATTCGATCAAAGAATAGATCACAGGAACCTAAGAACCTATCTATAGCTATGTCGTGATCGAGGTTAGTTCATGGAGTTTTAAAGCTTAAGGGAGTCTTAAAACTACTCCATAAAGATCTGGGAACAATTTTTGGAGGATTTAGATGTCGGGATAGGTCAGCTCCACAAGTTCTTGTTTAGTCAGAATTTTCCAAATTTTTCTAGAAACCGGGGAGTGCAGCGGTGGCCGGCACTGGAATCCGGCGAACCCATTGGAGAAGACAAGGAATATTCTGTCAACTTTGACGAAATATAGTGATGGCGTAAGGTAACACCATTAGTTTTTAGACGATATGTGCTGATATTTAACGAAATATTCCCTAACAGCGTTAAGGTTACCATTAGCATGCCAGGCACGTGCCTGCTTGTAGCCAGCGCGTGGGACGTCGGAAAATTTTTCTAAAAATATGGGGATGCTCGTGGTGTTGAGTAGGCCATGATGGTATATTCAATCACCCCAATTGAGCAAGGTATGAAAAGTTATTTCATAATGATGGTTATGTGCTTTAAAATAACATTAACTTAGTTGTTTCACATATAAGTGAGACGTTTCCAGATGAACAACGTAGCCAAGTAAGACTTGAGGGTTACGACCCGGCTACATACCAGTGAGTGGGCTTTTTGGTTATATATATATATATATATACACACACACACACACATATATATATATGCCTTATGTTTCCCAGAAACTGCTTAAATGGGTTTTTACGTTTTAAATGCCATATCGTATGTATTATATATTAGAATATGCTTTATTATAGCTGTGCATATTACTGCTCGACGCTGTGGACGCTCAGGTAAGCTTCAAGTATGATTGTGATAGTAGTAAGTATGATTATGATGAGTTGCTTTTAGTGATTTATATCATGCACCTCAGTGTTAGTGCTCTGCCCAAGGATAGGGCCTAGCCTTCACGTGATCATTCACCTCCTACACCACACGCTCACCTTGGATCCAAGGCAGGTAGACCACATTAGGTGGTTCCGACTGGTAGGTGACTTGCGATACTTCGCACAGCCTTCACGTGATCGTAGCACTTGAGCATACTTATTTACAACTAGCCTGTTGAACAAACCACATAGATGGTTCCAACTCATGTGCTGGATTTGATTTGATTGTTGAGTTCTTGATTTCAGCCATACAGGTCACGTTAGGTGACTCTGGCTAATATGTCACTTTATATTAGTGCAATTCTCCTGGCTTACTTATTCATAGTTGAGATGATTGTCATGGCATACACATAGTTTGGTTATTCTCGAGTATAGTTTTCATATGTGTTTACAGTATATTTTCTGGGAAACTTATACGGGTTTTACAGTGAGGGGTTATTATATTTGAAAAGATAAATGGTTTTGAAAGCTTTGTGTTTTTGCGCACTCATACTTTCTGTTTTGTGCCCCTCCAGGTTCTAGATAGAAGTTTGTGTCGATGGCTCACGAGGACTTCTCGATGGTTCTGACAGATATCCACCAATGTAGGGTTTCTTTTATGGTCTGTATAATTATTACTTAGTCTTCTGCACTGCACTTCAATACCTATGCTCTGGTTGTGTGTGTTTTTACTCTAATCACTTTCACTCGTACTTATAGGCTAGTCTAAGGTAAGATAACTATTGGTTTTTATTTATTCGCATTTTCATATCATTACCACTTCCGCACAGCGTACATGGTTACGTCACCCTCACGTGACGGCCAGCATGCCTCGATTGAGGTCGAGGTGTGTCATTGAGAAAATATGAAATTAAGGTTGAAACTTTGAGAAAATATGGTTGAAAGATTGGAATAATGTAGAAGATAATGGGAAGGTATTTATAGAAAAGTAAAATCAATTTTTTTTTTTTTTCAATATTTTTTTTCAGATTTTTATTAATTTTTTACATTTTTTTATTCACATAATTAATCTTTGCTGTTGGATTAAAAAAATTTTAAACTCCAACCCTCCAAATTGTGCCACGTGGCACAACGGTAAAATTTCAAATTTTATTATTATTATTTTTTTAATTTATAAAGACGAATAACATGGACTGTTAATCTCAAATCCAACGGCTGAAATTAATGAAGGTTTGAATTTTTTCTTTTGGACCGTTGGAAGTCCAACGGTCCATAAAATGTAACCGTTGAAATCCAACGGACGTGAAGAAGCCACGTCGACTCCCCCAACGGGCCCCACTGTCTGAAAATGTGTCGAAGACGTGCCTGACACAAAAATGGCAAAAATGTGGCTGACATCTCCCTAACGTCAGTCTTGTGTCACATGGCCATCAAGCTCTCGGGCCAGCTATTTGTGCCGGGCCTCTTCCTCAGGGCCCCCTCAGGCTCCATCACCAGCAAGGGCTAGACTTGGTTGCTGGGGTGATTTAACCCTGTTTGATTACCGGTCCATGGGGCTACTCCACACGATGGAGTTGCTCTAACGCAGGGTACATTTCTAGCCTCTAGAAAAGAGAAGGCCCGACTAAGGCACATAGAAATAAGAGAAGACCAAGACCTAAAAGAAAGGAGGACTAAGACCTCAGGAGGTAAGAGGAGATAACTTTTTGGCACATGCTAGGCAATCTTTGAAGTGCTAGGGTGCTCTAATTAGAACACCAAGCCACCAGAAGGATGCTCTAATTAGACCACCAGATCATGATGCTCTAATTAGATCACCAAACCAGGATTCTCTATAAGACCACCAAGTGCGAGGCTTAGTGGTATGCATGCAGTGTAGGCATGCAATGCTAAGAAGAGTGCTAGACATACAATGCTAGGCATGCAGAGTGCTTTACGAACAACCACCTCACCTAGTGCTCTACAAACGACCACTAGATGAAGTCCCGTTAACCAAGACTAAATGTTTATTAGACCATATTTGTTGAGCGGATAGGAAGATGCCCGTTTATGAGTGAACCACTATACAATCCTTGTGTTCATCTTACCATTGTTTTATTTATTTATTATATCCTTTAAGTCAACCTTATGATATATGAGTATCAGCCCACACCTGTCTGAGTTTGACCCGCAAATTTTAAGCATTAACACGGGGATTCATAGTTTCGGTCCCTAGTCTGAGGACCCAAGATCATTCCCTAGTTTTGATGGGCATCCTGAATTGCCGATGACCACGTTTATTATGTTTCATATCGGAAACACGAAAACAATCGTCTTCAACACATAAATCACTGCAGCCGCTTGGTCAGTTTTATAGTTGGTTTCCACTACTTACATTTCAGAAAATAGACATCGATATCTCAGGACTCGTACCAAATCCTCACCATACTCACCTTCACCTTCTTTCCATTCGTATTCTCGTGGTCTCCATTCTGGAAGATAGCTGGATAGGACATGCATCTTTTAATATAAGCGAACAGGACAGCAAAACCAAAAACTAGTAATCCACTATTAAAAAGAAAAAATTACAAAAAGTGAACCCCAGGAACCATAATACAGATAACAAAAACAAGCAGAACCGCCGCAAGATAAAAGGAAAGTGAAAAAAGAGACGTTCCAGTTTCCACTCTAATACATGTAAATCTCAACCAAAGGCTGGAGGACATCAATAAACAAAGAATTGATCAGACAAACAACATTGTCATGCAGAGGCACACCGTGACTATGTATGTATGTACTTGCACATTATATGATAAGGACGATCACGACGATCACGACCACCACTACCAAAACTACCAGCACCCACCAACACTGCAACAGATAATAGACCAACATTGAAGATAAGATACGCTGCTTCAGACAAGAATTTGACAGGAAATAACAAATAGGAGACAATCAGAATCAAATTCTAAGATAACCTAAAATTATTGTGCGGTAGGGTGATCTTGATCGCAAACTACCCAAACATGTCCTCTACAAAGTCTCTGCTACACCAGACCAGACAGTCTTCTTGCTATTTGTCACTAAACAAAACAAATGAAAGTTTGTGTTCGCAATTTTGCACATAAATTCCATTTCTTATTGCAACCTAATGTCTTCTTTTCTATATTATGTATCACAGTCTAGATGACATGATGTGAGGTTGCTAATTTCCTTTTGTGATAACATTAATTTTGTCACTTCTTTTTTTAACGCGCACAATTCTAAACACATCCTTTTCCCCTAACAGATCAATCACAAAGTACTAAACACCCTGTATTAATGGTAAGTGGGGTAGATAAGACGTGAAAGCTAACTAGTTTGTTCAATTTATTGTTTACTCCTTACCCATGAGCATCTGGATTTAACTCCTTTGGACGCCTTAGCTAGTTGAACTCTAGCTTGGGTCGTTGCAGCAGAAGAGTTGTCAATGTTTGATTGAATGTCATCTGCAATGATAGAACAATATGCCCGATAAATAAAATAAGAGCAAAAAGCTCCATGAATGCAAAGTGAAAGTGAGCTGTATTACCAATGACTACACCCTGCTCATGAACGAGAACAGCAAGGTCCTTGAAAATTTCACTAGCTTCCCCTATTTGTGCTTCTATGTCTCGAATACCCTGTTCCCTCTCCTCAATGATGGCATCATTGAAAGCAACCTCATTATCAAGCAAAAGTAACTCCTGCCTGTAGGTGAGGTGTTTGTTCAAAACAGAATTGTGAATCCTTGTAAAACGTGTATCAACCCAACCCATGTGTAAGGGTGTGTGCAAGCGAAGATGCTCAAACTATTAACCATACACGGTAAGTTGTCAGCCAAAGTTAAGACTCCCTCCCAATGTACAAGGTTCACAGAAGCAACTTGAAACTTTGAGCCACTGAAAATACACACGAAAACTTTGGCCATAGCCACGGGATGGGATGGGAGCTCCAAGTTTTTTAACAATACAAGAGTTAAAAAGTCGAACTGAAGAATGGTCGGCAATATTCAATCCTTTTTTCATATGATGAAAAGACAAAAGTGGAAGGTGAAGGGAAGGATGATGTGAAATTGTTAATGAGTCAATGAGAGATGAAATAATAAAACGAAAAGAAAAAGGACTGGAATGTTAGGCAGAGCAAATGATGTGAATGTAGATAGAGAGCATGGAAATGGGTTACCTCTTTTGGTCCTGAAGGAAAGGTTGGCGGTGCTGATCCCTGGTGCTGCCACTGCTAGGTTCCAAATATTCCCCAGAGGCAGAGGCGGAAGCTGCAGAGCTGTTGTGAAAGCAAGCATCAATAAAACAAGGAGAACAAAAACAAACAAGAACAGGAACAAGGTGTGGAGGTAAGCCAATGTCATACATACACACAAAAACACAAGTATAAATATTTGAATTAGAAAGGTGATAAGAGGAGAAATGTAGTAGTAGGGTAGGGGTGGTACGTTGGCAAGGAAGGCATGTAAGTAGACTCGCGCTCAGACGCGAGCTGTTGAACTTTCTGAAATTCTTGCAATGTGGTCTGGAAATCTCTTGCAAGCTTCGCATCTTCTATCTGCTTACTCGGCTGAAAAATCATGATAACATTTTTTATTATTATATATATTTTTTTTTTTTGAAATTTGAATTAAATTAGAAAGAAAGAAATGCCTGAAATTGTTGCAGTGTGATTTAGTTTAGTAGATGAAATTCAAAAGGCGGAGGCATGAGTGATGAGAGTGAGTGAGGTAAAGAAAGAAACGCACATTGACATTGGATTGGTGATCAGATTGGGTGAGGGATTTGAGCTTGACAGACGTATCTTTTACCAGTTCAAGTATGCGTTGCCTCGTGTTGTGCCTGCACTTTGCATTTCCACTCATTACATTACATAACAATAACAACACACTAATTATGAACGACTTTGCATAACAGAGAGAGAGAGACGCACAGCTTCTGGCGGTGATCGGGAGTGTCCTTGGCAGTCCCGATGGCATCGACCAGTCGACGGAAAGTGCCGACGGCAGTGTTGATCTGGAATATACCGGCAGCCACCGCCTGAGACGGAAACGCCGATGCCTTCCTTCCCCTTCCTCCTCCGCCACTCTGCACATCTTGAAAGCTCATTTCTTCCTTCTTTCTTTCTTTCTTTCTTTCTTGTTAATTTCTAATAAGATCGAATTGGGAAGGAGAGGGCGCATTACAGATTCACAGGACAGCTGCTTGATTGATGGAATAAATTAAATCAAAATTAATGGAGTTAAGACTCGGACCAGTGGGATCCATCATCGATCTACGCTCCACGTTTCTCTCTTCCCCACTAATCTATCTGCAACTGTAAAGTGAGCCGTCCTCAAAAAACAGAGAGTAAACAACACTAGAAATGCTCTCGGTATTTTTGTTTTGCTGCCAAGTACTAGCAAATTCGTTGGTATTTTCCTTTTCTTCTCAATTCATTAACGTCTTAATTTAGTGGTGATGCCCCGATCTTTCTCTTAACGTCAGAAGAGGTTCGATTTCTCTCCACCAATTGACTGAAAATTAAATAAAAAGAAATCCATCGCTAATTAGACATCTGACATTTTTCACCCTTTTTTGTATTTATGTATTTATTTCATCTCATACTTGTAAATTTATTATTTCTAATATGTAAATTGAATAAATTAAATAAAGATTAGATAAGGGCATGATTTTATTTCTATACGAATTTGAATTCAATAAATAAATAGATAATTAAATGATAGAATCGAATCAGAAAATAAAAAACATTTCCTGTTAAAGAATACAAAAGCCAAAAATTAATTTGTGACTTAGTGGACGACCCCATTCTGTAATTTATCCGCATACGTGGCTTCACCTGTCGATTTTATACCCGTCAGTCAACGGCGCACCCCAGGCACTAACCAAATGGCAAATACCAAACCAAAGTAGCAAATTAGCAACAGCAAGGAAGAGAAACAAGAGTAATTAGAGACTAGAGAGCTCCTCCACCATTTGAAATGATCTCTCTTCTCTATCTCTACTAATAATAGCAAGTGCAGAACTACTCCACTTTACAGAATTACAGATGAGCATTTAAATTAGCATCTAACTATGCATATACCCTACCAACGGATTGACTGATCCTTCCTTCCATATACAAATACAAATAGGATTATCGTCGTCGTATGCATATGCGTATGGCCTATGGCGTATGTGGATGCATGCATGACAACAACAGAGTGCGTATTTCACTGCCCCACACACACCTGTTTGTATGTATGCATCTATGCATGTATGATGTATCTCCCTCCACTTGTCTTGCTTACCTAATTCACAAGTAACCTGCAGTCCATAGTACTGATATAACTTAACCCATATGAATAAACCAACCATCAGATCAATTGGTGATGACTTACCAAGTGACTCACGCAGATATACTGCATCTTGGCTTTACAACAAAATCAGGCAGATATATTTGGCGCTCTCTTTTTACGACCCAATCAATATGCTAATGCTCAAGGCTTCCAAGTACGGCAAAAGGGTTAACAAATCCACTCCATCGTGTACTAGTGTAGTGCTAGTCCATCTTTAAAAAAAATTGAATTCCTGTCCGTGCCCTAAGACACCTAATACTTTATGAGAGCAGGTAAGGAAGCATGCAGTTCAGCCAAACATTGAAAGATCCAATTCAACAGCTGTTCCCTCGGTAGCTCTAGAAGAAGTTCCGCCTGCAACACATGACACAACCAACATGACGATATCGTGACAAAATTTTCTTTTATGAAACTTAGCTCACTTGTCAAAATGTAAAAGAAAATGTATTCATGAAATATGAGATTACCTTGATCTGGTCACCCTCAAAAACCAGAGAGTTTCGGTAGACATCAGAGACCATTGATTCAGTAATCAGCTTGAAGACCTTTTTCTTCAAACTTGTTTTCATAAAAACCATCTTTCCTGAGGCATATATCTTGCTTATTCCAAGATCTGCTGCCATCCTCCTCACATAAAGCTTCTTTAAAAGAATCTCCATGGAGTGTGGCTCCTTTCCATATTGCCGGCGTAAATTCTCAGCATAATGCATCAAACTCCAGATATCTTTCTCAGCAGCTTTCTCGGCTTCATGAATTATCTCCATGGGATTCTCCAGATAATTTATGTATTCAGAGGGGAGATGAGGATTTATATGTAAATCAATCTGAAAAGTACATAAAACACACCCATCAAATACAAATATGCATGCATATTGTCATCCCAATCTCTTCTAGGAAGTCCCAATCTCTTCTAGGAAGTACAGTAGGATGTGTCAAAATTAATCAGCATCTATCTTTGTTCAAGTGTTTATCTTAAGATGCTGAAAGTGATAGTAGAAATACCTCAACAGACCAGTAAGGAACTGAAACTATACGGTGTTCATCAACCTGGCATCAAACAAACAAAACAGCAAGTTTTGAGTTCAAAAGTTCCGAGAGAAGACAAATTCTAGACAGTGAGTGGGCCTAACGAATGAAAAGTTACTACATGTGTGCATTGTTCGAGAGCGGAAGAGAATATATTGAACACCATTTTAGATATTTTGAACCATTTCCATCTCATACATTGATCTTTTATGCAGTTACAGAACAAAAGATATTGCAAATGCAATAATAATAATGACAATAAAACTAGCCAAAATTGCACTTAAAATGGAAACAAGAAGTAAAAGGTAAAATATTGGATCATGAGTGTAAACCTTGGATAGGCTCTCAAAGAGCATTTCAAAGAAGAGATCAATGCCAACATTTCCAACATCCCCTGTTTGTTGCTCACCAAATATGGTACCAAAGCCTCTGATTCCCATGTCCTTCTCTGCAAGTTGGAAACCTTGCCCAAGTTCACAGCATTCCTCAAGAGCTGCAAGTCGCTCCTAGAGCATGACCACAATGATTGCTACTTTAAACACTCCAAAGTAACCACAGACAAGTAAATCTAGAGCAAAGTAGCTAATTGCCTTTAAAGTGTATCTAAAATAGCATGCAATCATGAAAAACAAGTGCTAAATATCATGAAGGGTAACAAAAGTAGTTACAAAAATGTATACAATATTCTATAAGGGACAAGAAGTACCAGCGCTTGATCAGTTAGCAGTGACTTCTCCGGATAGAACAAGTATGCATGAGCTTCCTTATCTGCCCGGCCTACCCTTCCCCGCAACTACTACCATTTATGCATTTAATGAAACAAAAAAGAACACAGTAAGTAAAATGGATTAGGAGTTGGAGAAGCTCAGGTACCATTATGCTCTCCTGTTTAATAATTGAAAAGCACTTAAAATAACCATAATAACAATTTCAAATGTTAGTATTCCTTATATGATGCACCATTTGGAAATATATAAAGAAAGAAGAAAGAATAAGACCTGGTACAACTGCGCTAAGCCAAATTGTTGAACATCCTGAATTATGATGGTGTTTGCATTCTGAATATCAAGCCCACTTTCTACTATATTAGTGCATATAAGAATCTTGATTTCACCTTGTGCAAAATTCTCCATGGTTTCCTCCAGCTGCTTTGAATATTGCTGAAAAAATATGTAGATATAATTACTGACATGCAGAAAAAGAAACCCAAATGAGCAAATCCCTTTATAAGTTGTAACAAATGATGCATACAACTTGACAAAAAAAATTGATGCATACGAAGAACTTTCTCGTTCAAATCCTGATGCATCCTCAATTTCCCTAATTCTTAAAATGTCATCACATAGTGGTTCCCTTTGGAGATACCAAATGCCAAAGCAAGAAAGAAAATACCTTCCCATGTGCAATAGCTATTTCAACATTAGGAAATGACTGTTCAAGAAAGTCCATCACTTCTTCAAGTCCTATATCATAAGAACAGAAGTGAAATATGTATCAGCCATCAAGAGAATCAAACGTTTATGTGGGAAAACATTCTTGAATTTCCTCTAATTAGACTGTTATTCAGTAATGGAATTTCTCTTATTCTTTAGACATGTACGCCAAATGAACCTAGAACCACGAACAAGGCAGTCCTCATTTACTCTATAAGTCAACAGGCTCACAAAATAGTGACATATGCATGTAGTCATTGATAAAACTGAAAAGAAACAATACAGACACTACCACCGAGCAACATCATGACAAAGAAACTTTGTGCTTAGCGTTTGTAGAAGTAATAAAAAGCATAGATCATCATTCAATAAGGTTACCTTTAATGCGAGGCAATACATAAAACACTTGGCCTCCTCTGTCCAGCTCATGCTTAATTGCTGATAAAACCTTTTCTTTACTGTATGCAGAAAGATGGGATTTGATAGGGACCCTTTCTGGTGGTGGAGTTGAAATCAAACTGAAAATTTGAAGAATACATAATTACAGCAGCACCAAATTAAGGGACTCGCATTACGCAAGAACTACTGCAAAGATAAGTCATTACCAAGTATCACAGAACAAATTGAAATGGGCATCTAGATCAAGAGATCTCTAGAAGTCCAAAGACAAGTCATTACCTAACATCACGGAACCCAGTCAAGGCTAAATACAGGGTTCGAGGTATAGGTGTTGCAGAAAGAGTAAGAACATCAACCGATGTTTTGAAAGAAGCAATCTTCTCCTTTTGTTTGACGCCAAACCTCTATTTAGCAGAAAGAAAGTGCATGCTTTAAGACAAAGAAAGAAGATTGTGTAGGTCAACTAGGAGAGAATCTAATTTGTTGCAGATAGCAGATTCGATGACAAACCTGTTCTTCATCAACCACTAACAAACCAAGATTACTATACACAACACGACTTCCAAGAAGCGAGTGAGTCCCAACAATTATGTCCAATTGCCCCTTTTTAATCATGTCCAAATGCCCCTCCTTTTCTGCTTTGGTCTACATGCCATAACGGTTGTGATCAGTTTAAGACTAAAGGGAGCAGTTTGAAAATTCCAGGATGCATAAGATGTGATACCCAATAAGTATGTAATATGTAAGAACAAGACTTGGGTTACCTGAAACCTGCTGAGAAGTCCAACCTTGATGTCGGGGTAGATAGAAAACCGGTCTGAAATAACATCAAAATGTTGCTTGGCCAAAACAATAGTCGGTGCGAGAACCATAGCTTGCTTCCCCGCAGAAACTACACAGAAGATGGCACGCA